AGACCTACATGAGAAATTTTGCCTATAAAAGACCAACAGGAGAACTTCTGTCTGCAAAATACCTATAGGAGGTTTTCTTTCCTTAGAAGACCTACAGGAGGTATTCTGCCTATAAAAGACCTACAGAACGACTTCTGTCTATGAAATAGGAAGAGGGGGTCTTCTGTCTATAGAAGACCTAATGAAGGTCATCTGTCTATAGAATATCTAATGGAAGTCTTTTTTGCCATAGATGTCCTACAGGAGGTTCTCTGCCCATAGATGTTCTACTCGAGGTGTTCTGTATATAGGGTATCTTTTACCTGTAAAATACTAACATGAGGTTTTCTGGCTATAGTAGACCTAATGGAGTTCTTTTGTTCATAATGGCCCTTCGCGATTCGCCTAGACCGATTCGCCTATGACCATTGGTGTACAAAAATATGGATCAAGGACCAATATTTTGTGGCGTTACAAACTCATGGGGCCATTAGTGAAGTCCTGCTTATTCCTTCAATAAAAATCCATTTAGGATCTCTATTGTCTCTTTCAAAGGTTCCGACTCGATTATCAAAATTATAACCTTGTGTGAGAAAATATGAGAGCGCATTCCTTTGAAATTGTAATTCGATTACACCCTTTTTTCAAATAATCCATCAACTGTGCAATGTCCTTCAATATCTTATGACTTACGGAGGTACTCTCAACAATTAAACCACCCAGTCAGTCCGTCATGGACTTCAATTGATATAACTAACAAATAATTATGTTTAACAATAGAAAAGTTGACACGAGAAATGTTGATGATGATGATGATGATGGTGAACACTAGTAGCCAAGGTTCTTCCTTCCCGTTCGCTCTCTTTCTCCCTCACCTATCTCTCCTGTAATTATTTTCTCCACGGTAATTATTTTCTGGTGTTGTTGTTAGAATTCAGTGATGCTGCCGCCGGTTGGGTGTACCAAACAAACAGTAGCAATTTCTGGTATTTTTTTGTAAAATGATTACAAACGGCACAAAATAATGACACTCTCCCAATGAATGCCTTACCAAGTATTCCGAGGTAACTCACAGCTCTAATAAAATAACAAATTGGTTTTTTAGTTGTATTTGTTTTTTTTTCGGAATGTCATATGGGAAACTTGTAATGCAGTTACCGGTTACCGCGGTCATCTTCTCTTTATGTTGCTGATGCTGCTAATGGTGTTAGAACAGAAACCAACCAATGTAAAACAATGCGTGTGTCCTCTACACACACACTAGCACACATAAATATATAAATTTAATGACAGATTGTTTATAATATGCTTTATAGTGAAAAAAATCTGACGATTGTTAACCGGAAGTTATTCGTTTACATTGATTGGCCTTTCAAACTATCCTTTTGTTTCCCTTAGTGTTGTTTTATTGCACTTATGCTGTTGTCGTTGTTATTGTTGCTGCTGCTGCTGTTGTTGCGACCAGTAAATTGTTTAAAAAGTTAGAAATGTTTACCCATTAAAAGAAATGAATTTTATTACATTATTAATGTTCACAACAACAAAAAAAATTATTATTGTTGGAAATAATGGCTGGCGTGGTTGATGGCCGTGATTTGCAGATATTTTTTTCTTCGTTTTCATTCTCCCCGGGGACACCTGTTTCCATTGAAGCGTTCCTACATGACTTTGTAAGTGTCAATGTCAATTCTATGCGACAATTTTAAAAAATATAATGAATTACTAAAAAATTCTATAAGAAAAGAGGTATTCTTTCTAGATTAGGCCTATAGAAGAACTTCTGTCTGTAGAAGGTCCACAGAAGGATTTCTGTCAATAGAATACCTATAGTTCTGGTGTATTTGTAAGACCCACAAGTTGTATTCTGTCTATAGATGATCTACAAGAGGCCATTTGTAGAAAAGTACCAACGAAGGTCTTTTATCTACAGAAGACCCTCAGAAGATCAACTGAGGTCTTGTACCTATAGAAGATATACAGGATGTCTTCTGTCTATAGAAGACCTACAGAATGTCTTCTGTCTATAGAAGACCGACAGGAGGTCTTCATTCCATAGAAGACAACATGATGTCTTCTGTCTATAGAAAATCCAAATGAAGTCCCAAGGTCTTGTGTCTATGGAAGATCTAAAGGAGGTCTTTGGTATATAGAAGACCTACTGGTGGACTTCGGACTTCGAAGACCCACAGACGGGAGTCTGGCAATAGAATACCTGCAGGAGTTCTGCTGTATATGAAATATTCTCGTAGGAAATATTCTCATATGAAATGTATGTATCAATAAATAAATATAATTAAAAAAAGACTCACAGGCTGTCTGCTGTCTATAGATAATCTTCAAGAGGTCATTTGTATATACAGAAGACCCTCTGAAGATGTAATGAGGTCTTATACTTATAGAAGGTATACAGGATGTCTTATGTTTATACAAGTCCTACAGGAGATCTTATTTCTATACAAGACTTCTTCTTTCTATACAAGGTCTTCTTTCTATACTTCATACCATAGAAGACCAACATGAGGTCTTCTGTCTATAGAAAATCTAAATGAGGTCCCGTGGTCTTATGCCTATGGAAGATCAAAACGAGGTCTTTTGTCTACAGGAGAACTTCGGTCTATCGAACACCTACAGGTTTTTTTAAATAGAAAGCGTATATGAGGTCTTCTGCATATAAAAACCTACAGGAGGTCTTTCGTCTATAGAAGGCACACAGAACGTCTTCTGTGCATAAAAGAGCAACAGGAGCCTTTCTGTCTAATGAAGACCTACAAGAGGTCTTCTCTCTACAAAAAGACCGAACAGGAGGTCTTCTATCTATAGAAGATCTTCCTGTAGAAGATGTCCTTCTTCTTCCTGTAGAACAGGGTACAGGACATCTTCTCACCATGGAAGACCTACAGAAGGTCTTATTTCGATGGGAGACCTACAAAGGGGCTTCTTTCTAGGAAAGACCTACAAGGGATATTCTATATTTAAAAGACCTACACGAGGTTCCAGAGACAGGAGAACACCTAGCTCCTGAATCTGGAAAACCTACATGGGTGTTCTGTATATAAGAGACCAATATAAAGTATTTTCATTATGAAGACCTACAGTAGATCCTCTCTTTATAGAAGACATTCTGGAGGTATTTCGTGTATGCAAGACATACAAGAGGTCTTCTGTCGGTAAAATACCTATAGAAGGTCTTCCGTTTAAAGAAAAACATTTAAGAGATCTTTTGTAGATCGAAGGCATATAGGAGTTTTTTCTCTCCATAAAAGAGATATAGGAGGTATCTGTCTATAAAATGCCAATAGGAAGTATTTTCACTATGGAAGGCCTTCAGAAGGTTCTCTCTATAGAAGATCTACTGGAGAAATTCTGTCTACAGAATACCTAGAAGAGCTGTTTATGGAATACCTAATTGGAGTCTTCTAAAGACCTATAGGAAGTATTCTGTGTTTGAAATATTTAAAGGAGGTCGTTATCCTATAGAATACCTACAGGAGGTCATCTGTCTATAAAAGACCTACAGGAGGTTTTCTGTCTATAGGAGACCTATAAGAGATCTTCTTTCTATGAAATATTAACAATAAGTTTTCTGTCTATGGAAGACCTACTGTAGCTTATCTGACTATAGAAGTATTCGGCCTCATATGTTATGCATAACTTCTTCAGTGACTAAATTCCTACAAGAAGGTCTACGTCTACGTAGACGGGCGATCTTCTACGTCTGGAGACCTGTAAAAGATCACCTGTTTTCAAGAAGTAAAAATGGTCGAAAATCTATATATATATATATTTCTAATCTCCTCTTTTTATCTATAGAAGATCTATAATAGGTCTTCTGTGAATAAAGACGAATTAATGAAAGTCTTTTGTCTATGGAAAACCTGTCAGAGCTGTTATGTTTACAGAAAAATTAGAGAAATAATATTAACTACATTTTCAGGGGGTCTTTTGTCTATATACACCTACTCCAAAAGCCATATTCTCTGGATAGAAAACTTACTGGAGGTCTTCTGACAATAAACTTCTGTCATTCTCTGGATAGAAAACTTATTGGAGGTCTTCTGACAATAAACTTCTGTAATGAGGAGACCTACAGAAAATTGTATGTCTATAGAAGACCCAAAGGAGTTCTATAAAATACCTGTTGGAGATCTTTTGTGTATAGAAACTTTATAGATAGATTGAAATTGAAAGACCTCTAGAAGGTCTCAAATTGATAGAAGTCAACAATAAGTGAAATCGGACTTCTATATAGAGACATATTTAAAAGTAGAACTGTAAACCCTTTTTACCGAAAATTGTTGACATTATGAATAAATTGCCAAAGAAAATTTATGAATGAATTGTGGTGACATTGGATTTTACTACATGTGCTGGGAAAGAGATTCACATTACATGTCCCACCGAAAAATAAAAAACACAAACAAGCGACAACAACTTGTAAAACATACGGGGAATACTCCGATTACGCGCAATGGAATAATAGTTGTCCCTCAAACAACAAAAATTGATACCTTGTCTCATAACTCTGAGAATTCAGAAGCAATGTCTGTCGGTCGGTCGGCTGCTTCCATTTGCCAAGTGTTGAATGAATAAAAAAAAAACAACAACAAAAGGAAAACTGCCAGTTGTTGTAGTTGTTACTGTTAAATTATAGAGCAATGGCAGTGCCAGGCTGGCAGCCAGCAGCAGCAACATTATTGTAAAACTATCTGCAAGTTAATGTTGGTGTTGTTGCTACTGCTGCTGTTTTTTGGTGGGGACGTAAATTGATCGTCATGAGTAACGTAAGTGGTGGTGCTGAGGAATGGGGAAGGGGGGACATTCCAAACAAACAAGCAAAAAAAACCAAACTCGATTTTATGAATGAATTTCTCATGTTGCCTTTATACGATTTTTCGTTCGCTATGGAACCAACCGCCAGCGACCACAATCAAAAGCCATCCATATCCATACAAGACACACAAATACATAGACACTACGCTGTTGTCTTTTTTTCAGTTTTTTCCTGAAACTCACGCCACAACATGGATGGAACACATGAAACAACATTCAGCCAACATCATGTCTACTACACATGTTCCAAGTTCCGAGTACCTCTAACTCACATGGACTTATGGTACAAGAACAACAACACGATAATGGGCTTCAGTGCAGAATTTAATGATGATGACGATCATGACGACAACGGCGACGACGACACGACAATAGTGGTGGTGATGATGCCTTTGGCCATGATCTCCATCACAATGGTTGTGGTGGTGTTATATTGTTCTTGTAGCTGCTGCTGGCCTGACGATCGGCCTGCCCTGCCTGCCACCGTTAATAATGTTGAGGATGATCACATCATCCACCAAGATACTTGATGCCCAATATTGTGGTTATTTTATTATGTTCTCCATCCATTCAAGCCGTCCCTACACACACTCACACCTCACTCACCCTTCCCACTCTCCAGCCGTTCGCTGGTAGTTAATTCCCTCACGCAACGACCTGCTAAACCACTATGATTGCGGTCGTTGTCAATGATGATGACGATGACTACGATGTTGTTGTAGTCGTTTTTTTGTTGTTGTTACAGCTTCCGCTGCTTCCGTTTACTATACATACTATCATCAAAGCATCAATGAATTACGGAATGAATGAATGGATGGAGGCTTTTTTCAAACAGCAGCAGCAACAACAACAAAACTATGTGAGGGAATTTAGTTTGTCGCTTTGAGTTCCCTTTACTTAGCGTTTTTTTTTGCTGGCCGCTAATTTCTTCTATTGATTTTATGTTTACTAGACATGGTTGTTGTTTTTGTTATTTTTGTCCCCATATAGATATTGTTGATTTTATGTTTTATCTTCTTGTTTTCCGACATTCTTGGGCGTAAGTTAGTTTGGTTATATTCGAGAAATTTTACAAAACAAAAGGTAGTATTCTGACCAGATGTTCCGACACAACAATGCATGACCGCGACACATTATCATGTGAATGAGACACCAATGCAGAATGTCACGTAAATTTGTTGTTTTTTATTGTAGGACTAGATCAACATTTTAAAAAAAACAGGTCAGGAGACCATATGGAGACTAAAGCCCTCTTGTATGTCTCCTAAAGAGAGGAGATATCATAAAGATCTCCTTAAAATCGATCAGGCCTTCAAAAAAAAAAATCCCTCATGTATACAAACTTTCTATATACAGAAGATCTTCTTATGTAATCTTCTATAGTCGAAAGATCTCTTGTTGGGATTATACCTTTAGAAAACACCCCTCTATATACAGAAGACTTACGGTAGATCTTCTATGGACAAAATACCCCTGTCAGACTTCGGTAGACAGAAGACCACCTCTGAGTCTTCTATATACAAAATACTACCTATAGAATACCGCATGTTGATGTTTGTAGACAGAAAACCTCCTGTAGATATGCAGAATACCTCCCTTTGTCTTCTGAAGACAGAATAACTCTTATATGGACAGAATAACTTCTGTGGGTTTACTATATACAAATAAACTCCTATTGGTCTTCTATAGACAGAACAAATATTGTAGGTCTTCTATGCACAGAAGACTTCTTTAAGGTATTCTATGGATAGAAAACCCCCTGAAAGTATTCTATAGACAGAATACCTCTTGTAGGTCACATATAGATAGAAAATCTTCTGCAAGTCTTCTATATAGATGACCTAATGTAGGTGTTCTAAAGACAGATGAGTTCCACCAGGTCTTCTAAAGACAGAATTCTTTCAGAAGGTCTCCTACAGACAGAAAACTCATGCACATATTTTATAGACAGATGGCCTCCAGTAGATATTCTATAGACAGAAGTCATTGTAGAGGTCTTATATAAACAAAATACGACCTATAGGTCCTCTTTAAACAGAAGACATCCTATAGGTCTTCTATAGGCAGATGGTGTCCTATAAGTGCTCTATAGACAGAACACCTTCTATAGGTCTTTTGTAGGCAGAAGGCCTCCTGTAGGCCAAGAACTCCTGTAGCTCTTCTATAGACAGAAGACCTCTAAGAGGTTCCATTGACAAAATACCTCTTCTAGATATTTTATACACAGAAGGGTTCTTTAAGGTCTTCCATAGACCGAAGTGCTCTTATAGGTCTTCCATAGACAGAAGACCTTTTGTAAGATTTCTATAAACAAAATTAATCATTTTAGTCTTCCATAAACGTTAGACCTCCTATAGGTCTTTTATATTATATATAGAAGATATCTTCGAGGAAGATTTTATGTAGGTCTTCTTTAAACAGAAGATCTCCTCAAGGTCTTCTATAGAATAAATATTTTCATTAGGTCCTCCTGTAGGTCTTCTATTAACATAATCTATAAATAAAAATGAAAAAAGGTAGGGTATACAGAGGTCTTCTATAGGGCGAAAATAACCCGAAGGTCTTATAGAGGACGAACGATTTAAGTTTTATATAGTAGGAAGTCCTTTTAAGGGTCTTCCATATTAAGAACACCTTCTATAGACCTTCTGCAGGAAGAAGACTTCTAGTACGTTTTATATATAGGCGGAAGAACTGCTATTGATGTACGATAGACAGAAATCCTCCAATAACAACAGCATCGTCTGTATATTTTCTATTAGAAGAAGACCCGATGTAGATTACCAATTGGTAAAAGTACTCCCCTAGAAAGAAGACTTCCTATAAATTCTCTATATGAGGAATGCTTCTTGTAGGTCTTTCATATGAAGAAGGCATCCATTAGGACTTCTATTGACAGAAATCCTCCTGTAGGTATTCTATTAACATAATCTATAAATTAAAGTGAAAAAGGTAAGGTATACAGTACAGTAAGGTATAACACGGAGATCTTATAGAGGATAAACAAGTTAAGTTTTATATAGTATGAAGTCCTTTCCATATTACGAATAACTTCTATAGACCTTCTGCTAAAAGAAGACTTCCAATACGTTTTCTATTGATGAATAACTGCTATAGTTGTACGAAAGGTAGGAGTCCTCCAAAAACAATAGGATCGTGTGTATATTTTCTATTGGACCTGCTGTAGGTTGCCAATTGGTAGAAGTACTCCTCTAGTAAGTCTTGCTATAAATTCTCTATATGCGGCAAGCTTCTTGTAGGTCTTTCATAGGAAGAAGACGTCCTTTAGGAAGAATATTTCAGGTAGTTCTTCCATAAACTCTTTTCTATATGAAACCTAAAAGCTTCTTTGTAGGTCTTCTTTCATACATAAAGAACAAGAATGCAGGTCTTCTTCATATAGAAGAAGACATCCTTTAGGAAAAATATTTCAGGTAGTTCTTCCATAGGAAGTTTATCTTCGGTGACTTTTTTATGGGAATAAATCATCCTGTTGGTCTTCCCGGGAAAGAATACCTTCTGTAGGTCTTCACTAGGTTGAATGCCTCCAGTACATAAAGAACATTAAGAATGTCTTCTTCCTAGAGAAGATCCTCAGGTCTTCTTCATATAGAAAACAAAGAGAAGACATGCTGATGTTCTCTAGGAAGAAGGCATTCTGTAGGTCTTCTCTAGAAATAAGTCTTTCTGTAGCCCATCTCTTTGAAGAGATCCTAGTTTTCTATAAGAATAACTACTTTTGTAGAAGTTCTCAAGTAGTTCTTCTATATAGAGATTACCTTCCGCGACTCATGTATAGCAAGTCTACCTTCCGTAGATCAACAAGAAATTTCCAAAGACTTCATGGTGGCCCAGTTAATCAAATGTTGCCACTTTATTTGAATATCCCCAAAAATTAAAAAATGATCTCCTCCTTCCTCTCCATCTTCACACGCAACTTTTAATTCATTCATGATTATTTTGGGGGCAAGGGGTTTCTTTCTTTCTCATTTAAATAGCATTCTTAGCTTCGGATTTTCGGCAGATTAAAAAGTCGGAACAAAAATCTGATAAACTCTAATAGGTCAACACTTCTACGAAACTTTAACGGTTTACGGTGTTGTATGTAACAACACTTCGTACGCCAGGTAAAAGAAATGCGTTACAAAAAAAATTGTATCGTAAGCGTTTAAATGTGGGGATAACTGACTAGATTATCCAGATAGTACAGCAGCAGCAACAACAACAAAAACCACAATAATTACAAGAAGAAGAAGAAGAAGTAACCGTCCATCCCAATAATGATTTGATTTTATGAATGAAAAGAAGCTAAACTAAGGATGAATGAATGGAGCCAGGTTTGGTATGAATGACTGAATGAATGTGTGGTGTGGTAAGGTAGTAAATCTGGTTTCTCTAATGTCTGAATGAATGAGCGAATGAGTGCGGGAAGAGCTACGCAAGGCAACGTTACCAAAAGGAATGAATGAAATGATGTTACGCGTTGTTAAACTATGGCCAGCAAGCAACAAAAAAAGGAAATGACCAATAATAATTACCACACAGAAAAAACATTCATCTATGGTTGTTGTTACTTGGACCAACATCGTCATCAGCATCATTTGGAACCAGTAGCACTTTGTAGCTGGTTATTTTCCGAAAGGAGTTGAATGAAATGATGTTGGTGGGATAGTAGAATAACAGTAGCCGCCGTAATAACCAGAAAATGTTTGAAACATCTTTTATACAAAACTACCAACAACAACAATTACAACAACAGTAATGTTATATTTTTAGACTACATAATAGCAGACATGAAACGGTTATTAACGATAAGAAAAGAACCCCGATGCGCAGGTCTCAATATTTAGAGGGTTTTCAAGGGAAATTATGTTCAAAAATTATGACCTATAGGCAATTTTCTTTCTATATAGGGGCTCCAAGTCTTTCTCCAATGAAAAATCTACACAATGTCTTATGTATATAGAATATTAATAGAAGACCTGATGGAGGAATCCTCTATATAGTCCACCATCTCATCTATGAATATGATCTTAAGTTTTTACAAGAAAATCAGGACAAGAGTACATCGAAAAACCAAAGGAAACTGCAATCGACCGAAAACCAGGCAAATCCAACTAAAGTAGCAATTTGAAGCGTCTGTTACATTAGAAAACCTGGTAATGTGGCGAATGTTTCGTTTAAGCATCGTAGGATGGTAAAAAAACGAACAGCAGAAGTAAATTCTTACATTTTTGCCGGGTCATTCGACTTAGAATAATTCTTCTGTCCACATAACACCTACAGATCTTCCTCAATATTTAATATAGTGAAATTTAAGGGTTACCCGATAGAATGTTCTCTTTTGGGTCTTCTATGGACACAATAACTCCTGTATCTCTTCTACACACAGAAGGCCTGCTGTAAGTCTACTCTATTTTGGATTTTTATGAGAAGGCAACCATATGGACTTCCATGAGTAGAATATAAGGGCTAATAAATATATATCTGGGATTTTCATTGTATCGTTTGGCATTTTTATACCCTGCAGTGTGTATTAAATTTGTCATTCCGTTTGTAATATCTTGACTCATGAGACTCCACTACCAGGCTCTCGATAGACAGAAGAGTTCCAATAGGTCTTCTATAGACAGAAGTCTTCCAGAAGGTCTCCTACCGACAGAAAACTCATGTAGCTCTATTATAGACAGATGACCTCCTGTAGATCTTCTATAGACAAAAGGCTTCCTAGAGTACTTCTATAAACTAAACACGTCCAATCGGTCCTCCAAAGAAGACCTATAGGTCTTCTATAAACAAAAGACATCCTGTATTAAATTGGTCATTCCGATTGTAATATCTTGACTCATGAGACTCCACTGATTCTTCTGTTGAAACCACGATATTGAAGCTAGAGCTTTAAACATTTGCACATACAATAAAACCCAATTATGCCCAAAATGGAAGGGCACCGCTATGGGTGTGATTTGGCATTTTGGATCCTCGGGGAGTAGAAATCTTCCTTCGAAAAATCTTCAACATTGGTTCACTTTTTACGGTGACACCCATTTAACCGTATTCTATAGACAGAAGATCTCCTGTAGATTTTCTATGGACAGAAGACCTCCATTAGGTGTTCTTTTCACAGAATACCTCCAGTAGGTCTAATATACGCAGTAAATTTCTTGTAAGTCTTTTATAGGAAGAATACTTGTTGTTAGTCATCTATAGACAGAAGATCTCTTGTAAGTCTTCTATAGGAAAAATATTCTATAAACAGAAGACCTCCTGTAAATCTTATGTATACAGAATATATCTTCTAGACCAAAAAGATCTCTTCTTCTATAGAGAGAAGACCTTCATTAGGTCTTCTATACACAGAGAAAGACCTAAAGAGGTCTTCTATAGACTGAAGACCTCCAGTATATTATTTTGTAAGTTTTCTATAGGAAGAATACATGCTGTAGGACTTCTATAGAATGTAGGTTTTCTTAGAAAAAAACACCTGCCATAGGTTTTCTATAGACAGAAGACCTTTGGTAGGTCTATCTCCTGTAGGTCTTCTATAGACAGATGATTTATCTGTAGACAGTAGAACTCCTGTAGGCCCTCTTTCTATAAAATATTAACAGGAGGTATCTAGGGTTTGGCTATGAAACATATATTCAGTCTTTCCATTGCCTTTTTGATTTCGGTATTTAAAGGTAATTATACCCTACACAACTATGTTGTCAGGGTATTATAGCTTTGTGAAGCCCCAAAAGTTTGTAACGCCGCGAAATATTGGTCCTAGACCCACCTTTAAGTGTACCGATCGTCATATCTCGACTAGCTGAGTCGATCTAGACATGTGTGTCCGTCCGTCTGTCCATTATAATTTGTAAACACGATACAGGCCACAGTTATGGACCAATCTTCATGAAATTTTGCATGTAGGATGGTTTCTGGCCAATGAAGACCCCTATTGTTTTTGGAAAAGATCGTTTAATATTAAAGGGATGAAATGGACCAAAAACTTTATTTTTGTCGGTTTTTCTGGTCGCTCCAGAGGCCGCAATTATGGCCCAAACAGCGCGAATTTTTGCATGGAGAAGGGGATCGGGCCAAAGAATAAGCATGCCTGTTTTGATAATGATCGGTCAATATTTAGCGGGTGAAATGGACCCGAACATTTGTGTGAAAAATGACAATATTTGTATTCTATGGCGTATATATTTACCACTGAAGGACATAGACCCGATAAGTAGGTAGTATATCCAAGGGGAGTGGTCGACCTTTAAATTGATACCAATTATATTGTCGTAGGTACTCGGATGCGGGAGTTGCACTTAAATATTTACAGGTGATTACGTATGTACATACTATTTAGTAACCTATTACCACACTGGAGGGCGGAAATATAGCGCTGATCGCTTTGAAATGTTCCATGAGGTTCCAGTTATGGTCAAGGACAGCGCCTAAAATGTTAGGTGATGATCAGATAATATTTTTCGGATGAAGTGGACCGAAAACTTAATTATTTGTACTTTTCGAGTCGAAAGCCGAACATCACAACACAACCCACTGTGAAGGGAATCTGTACTGATTATGAGTAACATTTACTGTCCTCTAGCCAGTCAAAAGTGTGCAAATATCGCGAAATATTGCCCAATCTCAGAATATAGAACCTCAGAAAGTTAGATTTTCATGGAAGTTGTGTAGGGTATCGTATGGTCGGCCCCGTCTGACTATACTGCTCCGCTCACTGGTTTTTTCCATATAAGTCCTGCAGAAACTCCACCAATGCAAAACCAGCGAAGTGTTCAGCACTTCTACGAAAAAGAAGACCTACGGCTATTCTATGGAGAAGAAGACCCTCAGCTCTTCCTCTAGCTCTTGTACTGTGAAGAAGATCACCAGCACTTAGCACTTATTCGAGAACCCAAACAGCAAAGAACTGACGTTGCTTGTGTTAAATAGACCTTATAAGTCTTAAGACCTAATTCTTTCCTGCAGTATAATATGTGGAATTTCCAATACCAAAGAATGACGAAAAAGGCAAAAACGTGGCGGACAAACCTGACCAACAGCTCGATACTACAATAAGTTTTATTGCGGTCCGACAAGTGCTTCACGACGATCAAACAATTCGTAAGTTTTGAGAACTGTGAATGCAAGATTTTCAAAAATTTTTTGTGCCATCAGGCCTAATGCTAATGAGGGTACATAAGCTTTAAGTTGTTGTTGTTTTTTGGGATAAAAAAAAATCCTTATTTTTGATTGTATGAACTAGGATTATTGACTTCGCACAACAATTAACAAAATGGCGGAACTTTGATTTTTTTTTTTTTTTGGAAAATCGCCATTTTTGGACCACAAACTAAGTTAAAAATAAGGAAGATCTTCATCTATTGGCTTTATCCAAGTGCATACGAGAACAATACACTCCCAATGAAACGTGTCACAATTTGGAACCGATTGGATTATTAGTTTTTGAGTTATCGTGCCCGCCATTCGTAAAACACTGCTTCGAGAAAAATGCGTTTAAAGTTTGAGAATCACTCCTGCCGTCACTTGATGCTGGCATAATAAATCGGCTATATCTTCAAGAATTCTTGAGATTTTCACTTGAAATTTTGTAGGGACATCCTAGTTAGAGTAGATTCGAGTTAAATCCTTAACCCTTAATACGAATTGGTCCAAAGACCAACCAAAGTTGTTTGTTGAAGAAAAATATCAAAGCAAATGGTCGGCTCTTACTGCTTCGAAGCTGGCTAAGTGACAATTTCTCCGATTGAGCTACCTAGGTCTTAAATAAACTCTTAGGTTTTTTGGAGTACAAAGAAATCCAATATGACGGAGCCCTATTCGTTTTTTGGAGAAAAATATTAAAACTCTACGTGAATAAATCTGCTCTTTTCTGAAAACCTTCATATTTTTACTGAAGAAGATCTTCAGCTGTTTACAGAGTAGACTTCAGAAGACTAACTATTTTAAAAAGAACAAAATATCCATCACTTATATAAGGAGGAACAACCATCATTTGTAGTAAGACAATATCCAATTCGTCTGTGAAATGACCTTCGACTTTTCTATTAGAACAATACCTTAAATTTTTTTGATTAGGACGATCAGCTCTTCTGTAAAGAAAAATACCGCCAAGAAGTTTCTCCTCTACTTGGGCTAGGATAAACCCTCTTGAATAATGAGGAAGGCCACTGGATCTTTTATAAAGAAAACCTGGTCTTAGAAAGAAAATCTCCTATAGACCAGCCTTTATTGGCCTTCTTAGAGAAGGCATATTGAAATTATTTATAGGATATTTTTCTTCGAAAATATAACTGGTGGTCTTACTGGAAACGAAGCCTATTTCTCTATAAGAAATAATAATTAATAAATAATCCCATTATTGGTTTCGCTTTATTTCCAGTTTGTCTATTTTCAGGAAATTTCCTGTAACCCAGTGTTATTACATTTCATCTCTCAATTTAGATGTGTCATGTCTTGGCTGGGACTTGACTGGTTGGTTGCATGGTTGTTTGTAGCCATTAGTCCGCATATGTATGTATGTTTGTTTTTTTTTCTAAATGTTATTTTATTGTTGTTGGCGTTTTTCATCTTTTTTCCTGAAAGTGTAAAATTGTGAAAGATCTTTTGTCGATATGAATTGTCTTAGCCTTTGATCAGTTCTGTTATTGTTGTTCTTTTAGGCCATTTTTAAAGTAACAACATCATCATCGGCGGCGGCAGCAGCAGCAGTTGAGTTGAGGCACCAACAGCAAATTACTTATGAATGAACGACAATAACAACATGAAAAAAATACAACAAAACGCTGAATGAATGCGTGAGTAAAATGCATTATAAGCGTGAAGAAAAAATATTATTGTTATTAGTGTTGTTGGGCAAAAGCACGACATCAGTCAGAACAACCAGCCAGATATTAACATTAACATCACATCTCATTTTGGATTCAATACTCAATACGATGATGATGATCATTATTCCCCAACACATTGAGTATGGGTCCATACACCATCGTCATCATCATCATTATTCTCATACAAACTGAGTATGGTGTATGGACCCATGGTCATCATCATCCACATAACATTAACTCTGGCCCAGTGCCAACCAGCCTTTAAACTTAGCGTTCGATACAGTTTTTGTTGTCAAATCTCAAAAAAGAAAAACAACTACCGAACATGAGAAAGCCAAACAAATTGTCTGGAGATAATTATGTTGTCAGTACCAGGGAATAATAACTCCGACGATGGCCAATTACATGGTGGATAAAGCTACTGTTACCGCATACAGATTTTGTTGGTTTTTTTTTCACATTACCTCTCACCCAGTTTATTTTTCAGGTGGGAAGGGGAGTAGAATCCCTTCGTGTTATGATTGCACCCGAATTTTTGTTTTCAAACCTTTGCCATGACCTTTTGTTATGCCGCCCAACCACAATTTTTATTACTTCTTTCTTCAATTATTTTTTTTAAACAGATTTTGGCGCCTTTTTATTTGTTCTTCTTCTACTTCTCCCAGATCTTAGACAAGTCCCGTCTAGTCGCCACGCCAATGACCGGCTTTTCTATTGTCTAATTATTGTTATTAATATTCATTAAGCCGGCATTTAGGAGCTGTTTTAAGTAACAATTGGACAATTTTAGAATTGTTAACTACCCTTCAAAGGCCAGCCACATTTTGTTTTTAATCCCAGTTTTGGTATCGACTTGGTGTTTGTTTTTATTTTTGTTTTTGGTTAATGTCCTTTTTTGGAAAACCTATTGTGAGTACTCGTGTGTTTTTCGCCATAAAACCTCGTTGCTGCTGCTGCTGGCTGTCTGCTGAAGTCTACACGTGCCTGGAAATCAAATCGATTTGAATGTTCGAAAAAAATATTTGTTTGATAAAAATAACAATTTAAATTAGATTTATAATGAAATTATTTAATAGTAAAAAATATTTTTTAATAAAAATTTTGTAATAAAAAAAAATTGTGATAAAAACAATTTAAATTGGATTTATAATTAAATTATTTAATAAATATTAAAAAAATATATTTTCATAATAAAAAATGTTGTAATAAAAAATATTCTGGATTTTTATGATATGACAACCCTGTGGACTTCCATGACTAGAATACACGAGCTAATACATACATATCTGGAATTTCCATTGAATCGTTTGACATATTTTTATACCCTGCAGTGTGTATTAAATTTGTCATGTCGTTTCAAAAACCTCGACCTCTATGACTTCATTGAATCCTCTGTTGAAATCACTATAGATTTTCTCGCAATTTTGAATCTGGGCCTAAATCTGGGTGCTACAGCAAGATATGGACCCCTATAATATTTGCACCCATTTGCCACCAAATCTTCCTGCAAAAATTAACAATATTGGTCCATCTTTTGGCGTAGAACCCATATAGCAGTATCCGTGAAATTTCGGTATTTCTGGAGGAGGTTACCACCAACATTTTGTTTTTTTTTGAAGAGCTTAGACCCACTTTTCAACCGAATTGGTTATAATTTTGTATTGTGAATTCTCATAGGGTAGAAAATCTCTTCCAAAAATTTTTGGGATGTCCCCATATAAATGTACCCCCAAAATTTCTGGATTTTTTTTATTGGTGGGTTGTTTTCAAATGAATTGACGGTAATTCAGTATTCCGAATTCTCATAGGATAGAAACCAAAAATTACCAATATTTAAATTTCAGTGCTATTGCTTGGGTAATAAGGTACTCATAGGTTAGCAGATCTTCAAAAAAAAAAAAAAAAAAAATACAGAAAAGTGATAAACATTGGTCCACTTTTTATGATAGCCCCCATATAAAGGAATCCCTAAAATTTCGGTATTTTCGGGAGCTTGGGGATGTTTTTTTACGAATTGACTGGAATTTGGTATAATGGTAGCAAATCATCCTGTCATCTGCAAAATTGTTCAACATCGGTCCACTTTTTAGTGTAGCCTCCGTATGACAGTATATTTTTTATTTCAACGTATGTGGCTCAAATTTTATATTTTGGGTTCTCAGTAGGTAGAAAATCTTCCTACCAAAACCTATCAATATCTATCTACTTTTTACGATATCCCCCATATAATGGCACCTCGAAATTTTCGATAGTTTGGGTGAGCTTGGGCAAATGTTCCACCCTATTGACGAAAATTTTGTATTTTGAGTTTTCATAGTAAATATTCCTCCAAATATTATCCAAATCGAACTAAGTTTCAGGGTAGGTCGCATATAGCTGTCCCGCCCACTATTCCCTAATTTGTGGATTTTGGATACGGGTTTTGGGCCAAGTTGGCTACAATTTAATATTATAGATATTTATTGGGTTGCAAATTTTCCTACCAAAAATTTACGATTTATTAAAAGTCTCGATCGATTTTAGTTATTTTGAATGTCCACCTCATGGTGAAGGGTATAAAACGTTCGTAGCGGCTCATCAGGTTTTCTATAGGAAGACCCGGTTTTTGTATAAGAATGTCTAATGGTCTTCTATAAGAAGTCCTGACCTATATAGGAAGAATTGATCTTCTATAAGTATACCGGACCGGATGTGCGGACATACTATAAAAATTCCTGATTCCTAAGAAAACAATTTCTTATATAAGAAGACCATAACTTTTTTAATAAGACCGGATCTTCAATAAGAAGGTTGGATCATCTATTTGAAGACCACAAATTTTATAAGTATGCCAGA